AAAAACAAAGATTTCTTTTCTTAAGAGTCCAACAGAGCAATCAAGATGCAAACATGTTTTTGTGTATGTTTTTAGACGTTTATTAAGAAAAGCGCTTTATCTTATCGAAGTTTTTATGAAGGCCTTCTGATTTATATGGTGGGTATACAAGCCGAAAGAAAGAGTGCAAATAAGAAAAAGAGACGGTTAAAAAGGAGTCAGGAAAAGGAAGAAAACATGACACTTTCGTTTTAGTGCGGCAAAAATTTGCTTACAAGAACCAAGAAAGATATCGCTATGGGTTGCAAGCAAGCAAAAATTCATGCAGTCACTTCGAGAGATGTAAGACAATCGAATGAAGTTGAGTTTCCAGTGCCCAAGAGTATTATTACTACCGCAGACGCATCTCAAGCTATCAAGACAGAAGATGACATCATTGAAAAGTTTGTATCGAAGCATTCAAACAGAGCAATTGAAGAGTGCACGCCACTCGATGAGTCTGGATCTGAACGCTCACACATAGTAGATGAGGAGCGTTTTCCACTAGATGATATCAGACGTGATCGGTCGGTCGATGTAACAAAAGAACATACGATATTCAATGAGGCTCGATCTGAGCAATCGGACGAACTTGGTGACTTGCAATCTGATCGATCAAACAAAGTAGATGAAGAGCTTTTTCCATTGGATGACATCAGACCTGATCAATCAGCAGAACTAACTAAAGGACATATGATACGTGATGAGTCCGAGTCTAAATGCTCAGACAAAGTAGATGAAGAGTACATGCAACTGAAAGTGGCACCTCCTGATATTGATCTTACTCCAGTCGACAAAGAAGCGTTCACACCAACTATATGTCAACAGCGACAGACTGCTATCAGCAAGATGTCCTATCGACAAGCTATTGATCAATGGCAACCAGAATCATTCGAACAGCTGATCGACTTTATTAAAAGTCTTTCTGTGAACAAAAATGAAATTGACAAAGCATGGATTATTTTCTATTGGATCTCTCAGAATATTCGATACGATACAAAAGCTTACTTTGACAATAACATTGGTTCGCAAGCGTCCACAAATGTATTTCTTAGTCGAAAAGCAGTATGTGAAGGCTATTCAACCTTATATGCAGACTTATGCACTCGGACAGGACTCCAATGTCGTAAAGTGAGTGGCTATGCAAAGGGATACAGTTTTAATCCTCACAAACCAAGCTTTGAAGAGACAAATCATGCATGGAATATACTCTCGCTCAGTAATGGACATTCTTACTTTATTGAATCGACCTGGGGCTCAGGTTATTTGGACGCTTCAACAAAACAATACAGAGCAAAATTAGTGCCTCACTATTTCTTCTGTCGACCTGAACATATGATCTATGGACACTTTCCAGTAGATTCTCAATGGCAACTGCTCGAACATCCATTAACAATGAAACAATACCTCATGCTACCGCGCACACACGAAGAATTTTTTGAACTTAATCTAAATATTGTATCACCCGTCTATACACACAATATCGCTCTGGAGACAGGACAATCATATGGAGAAGTACTTATTGCAACGCCGATTAATGATGTTGAACTATCTGGATCGTTACGCGATAAATCGAATACAAAAATTGAAGGTGGTGATTTCGTGTATTTTGATCGTGATCAAAATTTGTGGCGATGTCGTTTTGCTCCACAAAAAGCCGGTAATCACACAATTTTAATATTTGGTCGTAAGAAAAATGATGCAAACAAATCGACTTTGAGTTGCACTGTCGAGTTCACCTTTGATATTGATCATTTTTCTGCAACACCCATATCATATCCTATCACGTGGTCGCATTTTTTCGATTATCATCTTGACATTGTCAAGCCAGTCAATACTCGTTATCTTGATTGGCCGTCAGATAAGAACTTTCCCTACTGTGAAATTCTTGTTCGTTCGCCTGATGATGTTCACCTCTCGGCAACGATGGCAGATAGTATCACCGGTAAAAAAATAGAAAATGGAACATTGGTCAATTTTAATAGCCAAGAATCACTCTGGCAATGCCTCTTTGCTCCATCTGCTAGTAGTGCGTCATATAAATTAACATTATTTGCTCAGCATGTCAATGAAAAGCAATCCCATTGTGTTGCTCAATTCCATTTGCAACAAGTTCATAAATCAATGCTTCAAAACTACAGTCGTTTTCCGTCTACATACGGATCTTTTCATGAAGCAAAATGTCATTTGTTTGATCCACTCGACGGAATACTAAAACAAGGATCAAAAATACGATTTCACTGTCGAATTCCTGGTGCTCATGAGGTGAATATAACAGTTGATGGGCAATGGTTGAAAGGTGATTCAGCATCATACATGAATGAGAATCACATATTCCAACGTGAAATTCAAGTGGGACAAAAGGAAGTAGCTGTATGGGTGAAATTCGACAAGCAAAAGTCGAGCTATACAGGATTGTTAAAGTATTCAGTCAAATAATGTAAACAAATGACAATACTCCTAATAAATTAGTACAATCAAAAGATCTACATTTTTATCTATTGACTAGGTTACACATGAGAAATCGACGGTGTAGATGGATGCGTCCGTCAATATTCGCTTCGGATGTGGGTGTGTGGATGTTGATCACGAGAAGATCTTCACCTAACATTCACGTGCCAAACATCCGTCGTAGATAGAATCAAACGATGATTCGATTGACAAATGCCCGTGAAACAGATGAACATTTCATTGAGATTTCTATGCATTGATCGAAAGACAACGATCACCATCGTTTTCAAGTTTCGTCCTACATATTGAAATTCGACTGTTCAAAGGAGACGAAAAGGAATTTGACTTTCTTACATGAATCGTTGATCAATCAAAGTTATACTGAGAAAATCATAGAAAACGAGCATTGTTGCCATCAGATATTGATGTCATTCATTGATTAACCAAAGCTTTTCATAGATGATATAACGCAAATGACGAATCTAGTTTTAAACTTTTTGTACACAGTTTCAAGTTCATCTTTTAATACAGCTATTTTTCTGTCTGTCAAGATCAACTTGTTTGGCAAGACCGAGAATGGTGTGGGTGTGGGTGTGGATGGATCAGAGATGTCCATCGCGGCTGAAAATCTGCCGCTGCCGCGCCGCAGCCTCAGAAAAAAAAGCTGCCGCGCCGCGACGGTTTATAAAAAAATGTTGCCGCGACGCTGCCGCACCGCGATGAGTTATAAAAGAAACGCTGCCGCGCCGCTGCCGCGATGAATTATAAAATAAACGTGCCGCCACCGCGCCGCTGCCGCGACGGTTTTCAAAAAAGTGTTTCTAATTTCACTCCTGTGACTATATTTGACCAGAGATATGGGTACTAGTCCATCAGATTTATTCAATATCAGGGCGTTTTATTTGTAAATCCTGAAATTCTATTAAATTCATACAGTTTTTCAATGTCCTCCAAAAAAATCCTGCCGCTGCCGCGCCGCTGCCGCGATGGTTTTTTAAAAAACCTGCCGCTACCGCGCCGCTGCCGCGATGACTTTCAAAAAAATTTGCCGCTACCGCGCCGCTGCCGCGGTGATTTTTTAAAAAACCTGCCGCTGCCGCGCCGCCACCGCGGCAGCGGCAGCGGCAGCGCCGCGATGGACATCTCTGGGATGGATGACAGAGAAGAAAAGGCTCACACCCACACCCACACCCACACTCGCACCTACACTCCACCGACACCCACACCTCACACCCCACACCCACATTATTATCACCATAATTCTACAAAACAATATTATAAGACAACTACGTTATGATAAATGGTAAGTACATAAGTTTAACAGAAATAATTTGTGACAAAATCAAAGTTCTGATTGACTCGATAAGTATCTGGTTAGTTTATAGTGACTCATTAACCTAATTAATTTGCAATGATAATCTATTATATTATTAGAACAATAAACTGTGAGTAGAGTGAACGCGATCAATTTCGTTTTTATCTTTTCCTTGGTTAAAAGGACATGTGCCAAAAATTCAGTGTAGACAAGAGCTAACAATTTGTTCTTTCAATAGATGAATAATCATCGTTGTGATCGTTGAATAATGTAAAAATAAGACTAGGATACTTTTAAAGGCATATTTACATGTATAAGAATACTAATATTCAAAGACAAGGATTTTTGTCTATCAATAGATGCAATGGATTATATAAACATATGAAATTTTTACCTCAAATATTTGTTTATCAGCAGGCGTTAACTCTGTTTGATGTTTCTTATCGGCTTTTGTTTTTTTTTATAAAATTGTTTCGCATCGTTCAACAATTGTGCTGCCATATCATTTTTAACTTCTTAGGGTGTGGGTGTGGGTGTGGTTCTTGTTAGAGAATCTTTTCTTCTGAATTTTTGTGGAGAATTTGAATAAGCATATTCGTGAAATTTCATGATAAAAACTCTGGTTTTGATTGTTTTTCTAATGATAAAATTTTTATCAACTCGCATGAGATTAAAAATTTCGAATCAGTTGATATGACTTATTTTGTATTCTGTACAATTTGCAAGAAAAAGAAAATTTGCGTTTGAAATAAAGGTAAAAGTACTTGAAGGATACGATTTAAATAAATAGATTAATTTTTTGTTTTTTAAATAAAGAGAAAGATGAATATAAATAAAAATAAAAATAAAATGCTTTTTTAAATAGAAATATTCAATTAATGAAGGAAATATGAGATAAAATAATCCTCAATTCTATCAATACGTTTAGTATATTCACATTATCGTATCAATTCATATCCACTGTATTTTGACTGACAAAAGGCTACTTTTAATTGTCTAAAAACTGGCTATGTTTGTCTCTTCGCACTTCTGTTAGTAAAGTCTTTTCACGTTTATTTTTGAAAGAAATATTTCATGCTTTATTTGCATGAACATCCATGTCATTCTAATATTGATTATTTTCTTCAGATAGATCAGAGAAAAGAAAATAAACATCTTTTTTTAATCAATAAATTATTCATTTCATTTATTTTTGTAAATATTATATTTAATAAATTTACGTTATGCTTGATGTTGGTAATAAGTCAGAGACATGTTTAGCAACATTTTGAAAACATAAACGAACAGTTACCAAATTGATTGAGGATGGAAGGTATACAGAACTTCGATGTTCAATAAATATATGCTGATTATTATCTAATAGAACAACGAAGCCAATGCATGGACCAAGATCTGTTGTTGCTAAATAATCAATTCCTAAATCAAAATGATCTATTTTAATATCAATTATTGAATTAGCTGACATATTTTCTTTTTTGTTTATATCCTTTGATAAAAGCTCTATATTTGTGGCGATAGAAAAGAGAAGAAGAATGATAAGTGTACACACATGTACAGATATACACGAACGTAATCACTGGTGTTACAACAATCTTTTCTCCACAAGTAAAACGATTTGACTTTGACAAACAACGTGTAGAGAAATATTCTAAGATGAATACGGTCGATATTATCTGACAATTAAATATATGAAATCGAAGGATGAAAATAATACTTTCAACAATTTTTGTTTATCAAAATTAAAATAACAAAAGATTTTATATAGAATTTTATTCGTTTAAATGACGTTTGTGCTTAAGAAAAACTAATATTTATTGTCAGAAAATGTATACAGGGTGGTAAATAATATTATTCCAGGGGGGTAACAGTATGATCTCGAATCGGAGATATCATGAATTTTATACCAAATGAAAGCCCGTGAAAAATGGGGTTTAGTAATAGTAAATAGTAAGACTTTGAAGAACTTTCGTGTACCAAATTTTTAAAAACAACGAAATTTTCTTTCAAAAACACGTTAAAAATCATTTTTCATACATTTTGAGACATTGAAAACGAACATTTTTTATGAAAACGAAAGAGAAATGATAACGATGATGATATATGACTATGACTCACACAATAAGATGGTTCTTTGGCGTTCTGTTCTTCTCTCCACGTGATACTAGTTATTTGAAAAATTTTTTCGTTCTCGGACTGTCTGAAAGTTATAGTCGAGTGAAATCTCAGTGTTTTTTCGTTTGTTATTTCAAATGGCTGGCGCTTATGATACCGAACAACAAAGAATGATTGATAGAATTAAATGCATTACTTTCCGAGAAGCTCGTGATGCTGGTGCAACATTTATAAATAGACAATGGATTGCCGACAAAATTCACCGTACGACTCGATTTGTTACAGAATGGTGGGAAAAATCGTGTGACCAATGTTTTGCTGATTATTCGAATGCTGGTCCTAAACTCAAGTTATCGAGAGCTGCTCAGGACATTATTCGTGAAGCAAGTGGTCACCAACGGAAAAGCGGTTCTGTCGTGGCGAAAGAGATTGCAAAGAAACAAAAAGAATATGTTACTCGACAAACAGTTAATAACTACCGTCGTAGGGAAGGATTAAAGCCTTTTCATGTTATTTCAAGACCGTTAAAATCTGAAACTCATATATCAGATCGATTATGGCTCTGTGATTGGTTGAAAGATTGGACTGAAGAAGATTTTCTTCATCTGGCACCATCAGATGAATTTTATGTTTGGACAGTTCGCAAACCAAATTATCAAAATGATAGGATTTGGGCAAAAAGTGTTGAAGATATTGAAGACGATGAAAGGTATCGCGAAATGGTTAAAAACCAAGCGTGTATCGGTATTTTTATCATTTTCACCGCGAAAAAAATGCATTGGGTGATTAAAGACAAAGGTGAATCTTGGACCGGTCAATATTTTCGTGACATTATTTTAATGCAACACGTATTTCCATTCCTCACCGACGAGGAAAACGTAATTGATCTGGATAATGTGATATTTGTTCACGATAAAGCACCGTGTATGCGAGCAAACATGACTCAACATCTGATTAGAGATAACAAAATCGAGTTTTGGGGCAATGATATTTGGCCTGGTAATTCGCCCGATCTCAATGCGGCGGAACATATTGGATCAATAATGAAAGATGAAGTTGAACAAAAAATGTTATCGGAAACTGGACATAATCGATATAGTGAAGACACACTTAAAAAGCACATTGCGGATGTTTTGACGGACATGGAAGAAAATACCGAATTGTTTGAAGCTCTTTTATGTTCGTATCCATCTCGACTTCGTGCAGTAAAGAGTGCTAATGGTCGTCATACTGATTATTGATTGTACTCAATAAATAATAAGAAAATAAACAGTTGTACAACATATAGTTTAGCCCCGAACTTTTTCGATGAACTGATTTTATAATATTTTATGTCGATAAAAATCGTAACGTTTGATAAATTAATACAAGAAAGTTCTTCAAAGTCTTACTATTTACTATCACTAAACCCCATTTTTCACGAGCTTTCATTTGGTATAAAATTCATGATATCTCCGATTCGAGATCATAGTGTTACCCCCCTGGAATAATATTATTTACCACCCTGTACATATTTTGGATTGAAAATCGCAATTTTTTAATAACTTTAGAACCAAATACGTAGTTCATCATTTATATGAAATTGAAAATGAATGTTATTACCATGAAATATTTGATCATGAGTAGCTGCAATTAATTTGTCTCTGAACATGATCTTCTTTTCGTCTTTAGATCGATAACGACAATTTTTGTTTAATACTAAGTGTACCAATTGATCAAATTGATGACTAATGTTCAAAATAAATTCAACAAGATTTTCATTTTGATTCATAACTGCATCACTTGTTTCAAGCAAAAATATAGATGAGGTACGATTTCATTTAATTGATGAATATCAAAATAATGTTTAGGATTCTCATGGAATCCATTTAATAAGAGATACACATGTTTTAGATTTAAGTATTTTCGTGAACAGTGACAAAAATCTCCCCAAGCTATTACAAGAGACGAAATATTTGGTGATGCATCAAGGATCCGCTTGACCATGGCGATGCGTTCACATTTCTTAATTGAATTTGATTTGATGTTGGATGTAATAGATCGTATATGATTAAGCGATAAGTTCCAATGTGAATCACACTTTGACATCATTGATGTATTTGTCTAAAAGGTACAAATATGTAATAATAATGTTTACAGCATTTAACAGCTGTTATTAGTATCATAAGAATACTGATCTTTTGAAAACTTAAATTTGATACAATCGAATCGTTACAGAAACATGATAAAAAGGGTAGAGTGATGCATGGAATAAATTAAATTTACATTTAATATCATAAATGTTTTAAATTAGAAATTTTGTCTTTTATATGAACAATGATTTACCCTCTTGGCGACGGGAAACGTATGTATCAGTCGAAATCGATCATATATAGATATACATGTTTCCTGTCGCCAACGTGTTACAATAGGCTCTAATCGTAAAAGAAAATCAAAGTAAGATTTATGTCATGAACTTTCTTGTATGACACCTAGACACCTATAAAGTATAATTGAAAAATTTCCAAATGAATTAATTTACATACTAGATTCTAAAAAGAACAAAATCTTCACTAACTCCAAACATTAAATTCAATCGGTGCAGAACTTGTCAAAAATAAAGTGAACTAAATACCATTGTCAGTCAGTTAGATTTTACATTAAACTCTCTAACATATTCATAAATTCGAATTAATTCATCATTTTTGATTAAGATTGAATTTGACAATAGTTATCAAGAAAAGAAAAAAATCGAAAAAAGAAAAGGTTTATAGTTTTTATATTATTGTGATCTTTTTTATGCTATCAATTTGTTTATTCTATCACATAAAATAAACATCTAATTTACGAATTAACAACATTCCAATACGAGATTTATTTTTTTTATAATAATCTATTCTGATTTGTCTCGAACTTTGTATATGTATTTCTATACTAAATCAATAAGTAAATATTTGATATCGACACAAAACTTGTCTCATTATTTCCTAAAGTTTCGAGAAAAAAAAAACTTATTCGTAAATATTCTATAAAGTACTACAATTCAAACTCGAGACTAAATAGTTTCATTCAATTTATCCTTTTTTGACTTACTCGTTCATTTAAATATGTTAAATGAAGTTCATTAACATGACCACTTGCAACTATTTGTAGAGTTTTGTTAAATTGCTCAGTCTCATATTTTTGATCTCACACCCATTGAATCAATCGTCGTCGAATTGTACGAGTGGGAGGAGATACATGTATTGCGAAACCATAATTGTGAAAAGTTCGTTTGTGGCGATAGAGTAGATTAATTGGACAATTGTAAATAACAAATAGGATCTTTAGAATCAAATCTATTGCATCTGGATTACGCATATAACACTCATCCATGTAACAATTAATATTATCAAAAGGCCATTGATCATTGCAATTGAATGAACTCATTTTCCATGCGTGTTCGATTTCTTGAGGGAAACATAATGAGAAATGAAGAGTTTTCAAAGCAGGTAAATGTGTAGAACTACAAAGTTCTTGAAATTGACCAAGACGATCTAAAGCTACAAGAAAAAGAAATGAAATGAATCTTTTCGTCTAAATATCTATTCAAAAGCATAGACATTCGACTTCACTTGGTCACATCAACAATGAAAATAAAGACAACATATTGAATTACTTAACGACAAAAGAACATCTTTCTCTAGAGTGTTGAACGTCAAATAATTAAAGTTAAAAAACAAAGAATATTTAATACAACGTTTTTAAGCAAAACACTTCCAAACTATCACTTCATGTTCTCCTTGTCGAAAAGAAGATTTTCCACAGAAAAAGAACCCTTTTTTTAAATAAGATTGCAAAATCAGTTTCAACTTGGAAAGATTCTCAGAATGAAACGCTTATATTTCCAAGTGAATTTAACTAAACACCTATCAATTATTTCATTCATTATCATATAGTTAGATTCCTCAACGCTTTCTTTTATCCACTTTAACTAAATCCACTAGTTATTATATCATATGGTCATATATTTTATCCTCGTTTTTCACAATACACGATAAAATCCAGAGAAGCATATTTTGAAGTTTTCTTTTAGAACTATTCTTGATTTGGTCATTGGACGTAGGATAGTGTTTCTCTAAATGTATTTCATCCCAGACAACTGAGAAACTTTTCTTCATTACAGGGTATATTGATACTGCTTGATATATGTAAAACGATGTTTTAATTACTCCTGAATGGTAAATAAACTTTCAGATTTGTAAAAGATCATACTTCTGATTTACACAGTTTGAAGACCCTGATTATTTGAACAATGTGGTTGATCAAATGAAGCAAAACTTTTTCTCTCATAGCAAACGATAAGAAATTGTTTTTTTATCTAAAAGAAAGCAATTCAATCCCTACAGTATTAGAGCTCTATTTCAAATAGTATCGCTAAAATATTTGTGCTGACAATTTCTTATGAAAATCTTGCTTGTCTTAAGTTCATTCAATGATTTACAAGCGAAGACTTTTAGACGCTAAGACATCTTGTAATTCTTGGTGAATTTTGACGATGACACAAAAGAAAATTTAGAGGTCTGATATATCGATCAATAGTTAGAAGTGCATTGAGATATATTTGACTCAACTGTGTGACTGGGCATCAACAAGATGAAAGTCGAAATTTGAAATCTGAAATTATGTGCGGGTGAGATCTATTAGTTCATAGAATATACTGCGAAAGTTTGAAAGAAAAATGAAGTTTTCTATTCTTAAAATAATAATTGTTTGCATATACTCGATTTTTGAAGAGAAATATTTCCGCAATTCACCTTTAAATCGACATCTACCATCCAGTCAAAAATTCGCTAATACGAATATATATCCTCATCAATACCAGAAATTCCAGCCTTTTCATCATTATAAATACAAATCACTACAGACTACAATATGTACGATTATTTTGGATTGAAAAAGCGTTGCAGTATGTATATGTTGATCCGAAGTTACACCCTTTGCTGAAGTTGTAACTTCGACAGGCGGAGTAATTTCAGCACGACATATATAGTATGAATGAAACTGATTCATTACAATTGATCATGTCAAAATAATATATGAAGAAATAACTTACTATCATCATACATATCAATAAGTATCAATTCTTCAAGTAAAGGCATGGTTATCGAACCAATCAATATGATAACATCATTCAGAGTTATATAACGTAAGAGTAAGTGTTTCAGAGGAGTACCACCAGTAGCCGTTTCTCGTAGAGAATCTTTGGAAAGTTGAACTTTTGGTACTGATATATTTACATTGGAAGATAAATTAGTATCCAGATTCTCAATAGTAATATTCAAATATTCAATTGCAGGTAGAGCATTGTGTTCGAATAAAAGCCTTAATTCGCTGAAATGTTGAATACTTAATGTTAATTGAACCGTATTTGACCAAGATAGTCGTTGCATGTTGTAAATCTTCTACCTCATTCAGCCGATAACTGTGACCTATGGATAAAATCAGTAAAAATAATAGCCAAGTAGAAAAAAGATTCTTTCACTTCAATTATTTTCTGTTTTAGAAAAGCTAAACGAAATTTTTTTAAATCTAAGAAAAACAAAATTGATTCTCATAAATATGAAAACAATCGATTATAGGTCTTTTTTATAATGAACATTTTTATAACTGACCATTGAAGGAATGTTATGTTTCTCCACTGAAGAAAAATTGATCGAGAAAGTAAATACCTTTATATATCCGACATATTACTATTTGTATTTTCATGTTCTTTTTGTCTATTGACTGTCATCAGTACTCTTATTCCAAAAGTTTTCCAACATTGAAATAGAATAAGAAAAATCTCTGCAATGAAATAGATGAAGGATACAACTTATATGAAATTGTATTTCTCAGATCAACGTTTTATCTTAGCAAATTAGAACTATTCAATTGTTTTCTATTCTGACAATTTTATTCTCGTATATTCAATTTTCTAGTTTCTATATGATGCTTTCTTTTCTTTACAATAGTATCGAAATACTACAAATCCATTAGGGGTTTGATTTTTTTCTTATGCTAAGTTGAACCTGTTATTTTGTTTGTGAACTGTTCCACTAAAATTAATGATACAATTACTATCATGAATATTGAATGAGAATCATAACGACATATTGTATCATATTAAAAGTATCGTTCAATAGAGGTATTTTATACAAGCACAGCCAAAACGAAGTGTTCACCATTCGAAAACTCACTTCCACTAACATTCCTCCAACAGACTGTGAAATTTTACTGACTAACAGAATTTCGCACTCACATTACTAAACTTTAAACAAGATTCCTTTTTAAAAATAAGACACTTGTATATAATACATAATAATTAATATGTTAGAATCAGAGGTGAGCACAGGACAAACTTTTTCATCTTATCTTGCCTCCCGCTTCGACCTACTCGTCCTGCAGAGCGGACAGGACAGCAGGACAAGCCACACGTCCTGTCCTATGCTCAGCTCTGATTACAACAAGATAAACATCAAATTAGTCAATTAAATATTCCATAAAATAATTGAATTGTGGAATATTCGTATTAAAAGTGCTATTTCAATCTCAAGCATTTTTTGCACATCGGTACAACTCAAATTCAAAGATTATTTGAAATCTCTCAATGTGACAATTTTATTCTACACAATGACTCTATCTATAATAATACTCTTGATCATTCAAGCTGTTTACTTCGATAATATTTTTAATAACATACCTTGTTCAACTTCTAATATCATAGTATGAACTGAAATACGATGAACAATAAGTTTTGAAAGTATCCTTGGATAATTGGATGCAGGTTCTTTGAAGATGAGATGTAAACATTGTAATGTATTATTAGCAAAAACCAAAGGTATTACTATTGCTTGAATAAGAATATACGAACAGCATTCTGCCTGTAACATAACAAGGCGTTTTATCGATGGAAAGAGCACATTGGATTGATCAGTTTCATTGAAAGTCTTTTTCGAATATTCAAGTAATGTTCGGGAAGCATATGAATCATTAAATACAACAGTATCTATCAAATTAGTAAAACGATTTCTATGATTCTGATTACTATTGAGCCATACATGTAGTTGATCATAATGCATTAAATTAACATTAAATGAATGACGAATCAAAATAAGAAAATGTTGAATACAGGCATTGTTTAAGTAAAGAACAGCTTGATAAAGATCAAATGAAGATAAATAAGAAAATATAATAAGCAAAAGTTCATTTGGTAATGATTCCAACGTACTTTTATTCATCGTTATTTTATTGAATCTATTCTGTTTACATACATGTTTATAATGATAGATATACGAATGACCTTAAATAAGCTGAAAAAAATTAGACGAATTCAAATTGAACTAACGAAAAAGTCAGAATTGACCAATGATATTACTTATTTCGTTGTCATTCATTTTGTGTCAGCTTGTTTGACATCTATGACGGCATCATATATGTTCATATTCAAAAAATCATTCATAATCATTCGACGAACAATATAAAAGGAAATTCTCTGTTTAAGCATGATTTTTTACAAGATATCAATGACTTTTTCTTCGCATCGAATAGAAGATGATCAAATGTAAGTCAATTGTAATCATTTCTTATTGTTTGAAGAAAATAACTGAGTACTTTTTCTAGAATAATACTCTTTCTACTTTTATATTATATTCAAAATCAAAATATAAGTTTAGCAATTCTTGAATTAAAAAATACGAAAACAATCTTTTTATACACGATATTTCTTGATATTCAATCAGCCAAAGTATATTGATAATGATTAACATTATCATATTTAAAAAGTGAAGAATATGAATGCATTATTTATGTTTTGAATAATATTTCACTGTATAAAGAAATTATTCTTAATAATAAATATAAATGTCAAGGAGTTTTAGAAAGATTAGTGTTATTTTTTGAATGATAAAATATAAAAAAATTGTTTTATTAATTTAATGACATTTTTTGACTTTTAATTATGAGGGTATTAAAACATATAACGACTAAAAAAATGAGACGTATTTATTAATGCATTGGAACAAATTAAATATTTCTCTTTTTGGTTTAGTTTCAATTATTGAAAAATAAATATCAACAAGTGATCAATATTCTTTATTTTCAATATCTTCATCATTATGATGTACTTCATTGATTTTATCTTCTTTCTTATTATTGTAATATCATATATATTATTCTATATAAATAAATAAACAATAAATCAATTTCTAACCATGTCAAATAATAATTTATTGTCAACGAGATTTATTTATCATAAAATGTTTTGTTTTTCTTTTATTCAGTTATAATTCTATTCTATAATTGAATAGAAATTAAATAAATTTCTTTTAGAAAAACAACTATAGATATTTACTTTTCTAAAAGAAACATTTTATTATAATGTAGTCAAGACCTTTTTTTGTTTTTCTAAAATGATTAACTAGAAAAAAAAGTAAATTATCGTTCGTTTGAATATTTATCGAAGATGTTGTGTAAACATATCTCTAACAGTCGATAAATCAATAAATCTAATAAATTCTTAAGAATAAATCGAGTTGAAGTATATTAGAAAAGGAGATTTTTCATTAGAAATGTTGATTATTGAATATAAATAAAAGATTTATTTCTCTTTGAATAAATATATAATAAGAATTATTTTGAGATATTTTACGAGAAAATATTATTTTATCGAGTTTAACTTTCATAGATAAATATCTATAATATATTCGATTTCTTGTTTAAATACTCTTATTAGTTAATATGGTCATATCATATTAACTAAATATCATCTATTTTTTATTTACCTATTAGAAAAAATATTAAAAAAAAAACCGATTTTCCGACGTTAACTATCATAGAATATAATAAATATTTCGATTTCTATAAGGAGATTGTTCAAACATATAATTATGTTTTATTGATAAATCGATACTCTTTTCAAATAAAATCTTAATCATTATTATCTCATATACTTTTTTCGACAAACTTCTTTACCTTTAATGGCCAATTGTTGGATAAAGAATAGGTTTTTTTTTTTTTAAATTCTTATTTAAATTGAGTTATCTCTATAAGGAAACGATCTATAAATTGCTAATTCTAATCAATTTTAATTATAATAAACACGTTTATTTATAGAGATACGTGATAATATTGATTGATTAACTGTTCGTATTGATCAATCAGGTAAAATATTTAATTTAATTTCGAAAATAAAAATAATTAATAAATAGAATGAAAGATTCGTGAAAAAGAAATTGAATGTGAAGATATTCGAAAAAAATGAAAAAATCTTCAAAGTGAATTTGAATCTCGAATTGATTATTATAACATTTGAAGGTATTTGTGATGAATTATAACGAGCATTAGATAGAAAAAAACAAGCACAAGATTTTCTTAATAAAGAAAATAATCAATTTAAATCTTTAATTGATATTATTCATAAAGCATAAATAGATAAAGATTTAATTCAAGATAAATTTAATCAAATTAGTCAATATGATATTTATTCAAAACTATAATATTTAACAATTAATCAAAATTAAACAACAAATCGATGAATATATGAATAGAGCTGAAAAATCCATTCCTCTTCTTGTTAGAGGAACTATTTTATTCCATTTGATAATAAGATATTTTTTTATTCTATTTTTATTTCACTGATAAACAACAAATATCATCTTTTTCTAATAGAATTAATTTACTATTAAATCTTTTTGAAAAACGTCGATTTCAATATATTCAACAATTAATTTGTCAATTCGATGCACTT